ATTGTAGTGTCTATTTGCATAAAGAGACTTTGACTAAATTCAAACAGATATATAAGTTTGTTTATATCCCATTAATGCACTAATTATTGAATGTTTGAACAGATAAAAATAGAAGAATATTCAGCTTTTTCGGCTGCTTGAAAAGCATGATTGCTCCACAGACAATTATGGTGTTAGAAATTTATTCAACCTATGAGTATCATCTAATTTTATTGATTAGCTTCTTTTTACCCATTTTCATTTTCCCTCTTTAGAATTTTAAAAGTTTTAAATCTTCATTGTTTTTCTAGCCTCTGCATAAAAGTTTGTGTTGTTGTTTCTTCTTTTGTTGTACAAATTTGACTACTCCTWATATTTGTATATCTTTACAAATATCTTTTACTTGGATCTCAGTTTTAGAATTTTCCCCAATTAGGCATTTCAAATTTACCTTTAAACCAAAAATATTCATTCAGGTGAGGTGCAAATTTTCTCTTGTACATCTGAAGTTGAGAAGCATGAGACATGCATGGGTTCAAGCCTAAGAGTGGCCACTTTGTGAAAAAGTTGGATATGATAATAGCAACAATTATTGTTTTATTGCACACTTTCTTTCTATTCAWATTTTCTTGTTGTGTTTCTTGATATTATGGTCATTCCTATTAAAAATTGTAGATCTTCTGAGGGCAATTGTTTTTTCTGTGCTCTTTGTGTCTCTTTTATTGTGTAGCAGGATCAATTGATGATTCTTGGCACATGGCACATGTAGAGAGAGCAACCAAGTTGTAGATATTCTTGCAACTTTGATGTGACAACAAGGAAAATTGCTTTTTCTTATTTGTAATCAATGCATGACCGACTTCATGAGTTATGTATTTCAGTAAAAGAAGATTTTCATTTGGATGGCTTAAAATTAGGCATCCTAGGCTAAATCTAAATGTTTTGTAAAATGGAAATTTGAACTAAAACTTGTTTCTTTTTCTTCTGCTTTGGTTGCCCACTGTTAAGAGGAACTAAAAGGTCTATTGTTTATGTTCCCCTCTCAAATAGGGGTCTGTATGAAGCCTTCTCTAGTTGACTTTGGCTCTTGGTTGGAAGATGGGTAGGGGAGGTTCAAGTCACCTAGAAATTTGGTTGCAAACTTGCTGGTAGAAATTTGGATTTGCTTGAGACCTTTTATAACCTAACTTTTTAGTTGTAAAAGACCATCTGAGATGCACTATTTTTATGGTAGAAGTTTAGTTATTTGCTTATATAGGACTTCATGCACACAATTTGTCCATTACCTTATATTCATTAACTAAATTCTTACTATATATTCAAAAGTAACATACAATATTATCTACAAACTCAACTCAATTAAGCCTTATCCCAACCATATATATGGGGTTGGCTCCATAAATCCTCTTAGGCCATTTCACTTTCTTTATTGTCATAAATCCTATTAACCCAACAAGATTTGATCATGGGAATAGATGAGAAAGGTAGAGCATGCTATTGGGTAATTTTTTGTAGAGTCCACATATTTAAGCTAGGTAGTAGTGAATTCAGTGCTATAATGAAGTTAAACATTGAAGGTATGTCTGTAAATCTTTGAAGGAAAAGATCAAGACATTAGCCTATCTTTGGCATAAGAGCCTGATTAAATGTTTGAGATTTTTCTATCCCAAAGATTTTATTCTCCTAATATATGAGTTTATACAAAGAGATAGTGCAAAAMAATTTGATATGTAAATCAGATTTTATTTAAGGTGGAGTACATTGCTATAAGAGCTACCCAAGGACTAATTTACCTTCATGAGAATTACAATTGACACTTGCTTCACAGGAATATTAAATCAAAGAATATTCTTCTATACATGGAATTCAAATCCAAGCATACATATATTGCATTTGATAGAACTATTGGAGTCTTGGTGAGACTATTTATAAGTTGTCCATGGCTTGTAATAAAGCAGGATCGGCCTGTTTTATGGAACTAGGTCCATAACCATTCTTTAGTGATAAAATATGTTTGTTGCTTGATCAATTTGCTCAAATTAAAGTGGATTATTTTTAGGTGATTTTTAATTTGACTTATTTATAGAATTCTTTGAGTGTGAGGTTTTTGCTAATTGCTTTAGTTTTAATCCATTTGATAGGGAAAACAATGGTAATTCAAGTTAGGCCCATGGAAACTGCTTTATAACATACTAAAGGTTTGCATACAAATCGCATAATGAAAACTTTTAGCACGTACAAGCCAAAAGGATGGGTGTGGGAAGGTAGTAATGTTTCAAACATCATGGAATAGTAATCTCCCTTCACCTTCTCAAACAAAAGCCCCAATGGGCAAACTCAAATGCTGCAAACACCAATCAAGTCAAAGCAATGCTTGAACTTAGCCATAGGAAGAGGCTTTGTTAACATATCAGTTGGGTTATCTGCAGTACCAATCTTCTTCACAATGATATCTCCTTGTTCTACAACATCACGAACAAAATGGTACCTCACATCAATGTGTTTCATCCTCTCGTGGTACATTTGATCCTTAGTCAGATAAACAGCACTCTGACTATCACAGTAAACAACAGTCACCTTTGAATCCAAATCGAGTTCACCAAACAAACCTCTAAACCAAATAGCTTCTTTAACTATTTCGGTCACTACCATATACTCAGCTTCAGTAGTAAATAAAGCAACTGTAGACTATAAAGTAGCTTTCCAACTAACAGCACAACCACCAATAGAAAATACATAACCTRTGAGTGATCTTCTCCTGTCAAGATCACCAACATAATTTGAATCAACATAACCCATCAAACTGTCACTACTCCTCCCAAATTCCAAACAAGTATCTGATGTACCTTTCAGGTATCCGAGAATCCATTTCACTGCTTGCCAATGTGTCTTGTTAGGACATGACATATTGCTCACCATACTAACTACATGTGAAATGTCAAGTCGTGTGCAAACCATGGCATACATAATACTCCCAACTGTATTAGAGTAGGGAACATGTGACATATATTTTTCTTCTTCATCTATCTGTGGTGACAAGTTTGTTGAAAGTCTGAAGTGGGCTGCAATAGGAATTCTTAATGGTTTAGCATCTTTCATGCCAAAGCGCTCTAAGACCTTTCCAACATACTTCTATTGTGTCAAATTCAGTTTTCCTACTTTTTGGTTCYTTTGAATCTCCATGCCAAGAATTTACTTTACTGCACCCAAATCTTTCATTTCAAACTTACTACTCAACTGTGTTTTTAATCTATTGATCTCAGATATTTTTCTTGCTGCAATAAGCATATCATCAACAAAAGCAGCAACTAAACAAAAGAATCATCTACAAGTTTCCTGAAATAAACACAACTATCATACTTGCATCTAGAATACCCAAGAGCCACCATAAAAGAGTCAAATCTTCTATACCATTGTCTAGGAGACTATTTTATGTCATATAGAGATTTCTTTAACAAACAAGCATGGTCTTCCTTCCGTTCAACAACAAAACCCTTGGGTTGGTGCATATAAATCTATTCATCAAGTTCTTCCTGCAAGAAAGCAGTTTTAACATCTAATTGTTTTAATTCCAAATTATGCATGTCAACCAAAGCAAGAAAAACACGAATGGAGCTATGTCTAACAACTGGTGAGAAAACATCATTAAAATCAACACCTTGTACCTGATTGTAGCCTTTTGCAACCAGTCGTGCCTTATATCTAGCATCCTCTACACCCAGAGTACCTTCTTTTCTTTTGAAAACCCATTTGCATCCAACAACCCTCTTTCCTTTAGGTGGTCTTACCAACTCTCAAGTCTGGTTCTTATGTAAAGATTCAATCTCTTCATGCATAGCTGTCAACCACTTAGTAGAATTAACAGATGAAATAGCTTCTAGATAAGTATTGGGTTCTATAACATCAACATTCTTTGCAATTGACAATGCATAGGCAACCAGATCAGCATAACCATATCTCTGGGGTGGTCTAATATCTCTCTTTGTTCTGCCTCTAGCAATAGAATACTGCTCCTCCTCTTCTTCCTCTTGTACACGTTCTTCTATATAAATAGAAATGGGCACCTGGACTGATGTAAACTGAGGTGAGGAAGGACTTTTAATTTCTAACTCTACCTTCTTTCCTGAACCTTGTGTTTTATTTGCATCACAAGAATTTGAAGACTTCTTTCTTGGGTGAAGCATAGCAGATTCATCAAAAGTAACATCCCTGCTAACTATGAACTTTGGTGATATAGGGTCAGGACACCACAATCTATATCCCTTCACACCTAAAACGTAACCAAGAAATATGCACTTCTTGGCCCTACGCTCAAACTTGCCTTCATTAACATGTGCATATGTTGGACAACCAAATATTTTCAAATTTAAATAATTAGGAGGGTTGCCAGACCATACCTCTTCTGGAGTCTTACATTCAATGGTTGTAGATGGAGATCGATTTACTAGGTGACAAGCCATATTAACTGCTTCTGCCCAAAAATCCTTTGAGAGACAAGCATTTGACAACATGCACCTTGCACTCTCTAGTAGAGTGAGAGAGTATGATGCCTTACAATGCCTTTATTTTTGCATAACTTGTTAAACTCATTTCCACAAAACTCTAAACCTTTATCTGTTCTCAACCGCTTGACCTATTTTCCTGTTTGCTTTTCAAGCAAATTTTTCCAATTTCCATTTCTTATTGGTTTGGTTGATATTAATTGCATGTTGTGTTTGTTGCAATTCTAGGTTTTTATAGAATTTTCTTGGTTTTTTTTTATATTTTCCATTTTATAGAAGTTTCTGAAATGGTATTTTGGTAAGTTAACTTCTTTGTCACTCAACTTAACGAAGAGGGGTCCCTTGTTGGAATTTGAATGTTTAGGGGGTTTTGTGGAATTTGTTTATATTATATTGTATAATCAACTAGATTTTCTGTTTAACCTTCTTATTCTGATTCTTATGATGCATTTGGACTTATGTTTTTCTTTCTTTTAAGCATTGTAACAAAATAAAATGACTACAAACTACTATCAACAAGAAGAAATAGAGTTGTTCAACAAGGCAATCACATATAGGGGCCTATCTTGGTGTAATAAATATACATGCAAAGTCTTTGTGCTTATAGCTGTCAATTAAATGAGAGATTATTGTAGTGTCTATTTGCATAACGAGACTTTGACTAAATCCAAACAGATATATAAGTTTGTTTATATCCCATTAATGCACTAATTATTGAATGTTTGAACAGATAAAAATAGAAGAATATTCAGCTTTTTCGACTGCTTGAAAAGCATGATTGCTCCATAGACAAATATGGTGTTAGAAATTTATTCAACCTGTGAGTATCATCTAATTTTGATTAGCTTCTTTTTACCCATTTTCATTTTCCCTCTTTAGAATTTTAAAAGTTCCAAATCCTCATTGTTTTTCTAGCCTCTGCATAAAAGTTTGTGTTGTTGTACAAATTTGACTACTCCTAATATTTGTATATCTTTACAAATATCTTTTACTTGGATCTCAGTTTTAGAATTTTCCCTAATTAGGCATTTCAAATTTACCTTTAAACCGAAAATATTCATTCAGGTGAGATGCAAATTTTCTCTTGTACATCTGAAGAATCATGTAGGGATCATCATTTCCTGTAATAGTCAAATCTAAAGTTGAGAAGCCTGAGACATGCATGGGTTTAAGCCTAAGAGTGGCCACTTTGTGAAAAAATTTCCAAAGATTAGGGTTTATATCCTCTCCTTCCAAAGACATTGGATAACCAACTTGGACCAATATTGGGTTAAGGAATCATATGATAGTAGCAACAATTATTGTTTTATTGCACACTTTCTTTCTATTCATATTTTCTTGTTGTGTTTTTGATATCATTGTCAGTCCTATTAAAACTTGCAGATTTTCGGAGGGCCATTTAGAATTTGGAAGTCATCAAGTAACTTTACAAGTTTGAGCTGCAAATGRGATGGAACCACAACAAGTACGTTGCACAAGCACATAATAAAGGCATATTTAGGATTTTAGTATAGTTTAAATTTGTGACTTCTATGAACAACCGATAGAGTTATTCTTTGCTCTTTGTGTTTCTTTTATTGTGTAGCAGGACCAATTAATGATTCTTGGCACATTGCACATGTAGAGAGAGCAACCAAGTTGTGGATATTCTTGCAACTTTGATGTGACAACAAGGAAAATTGTTTTTTCTWATTTGTAATCAATGCATGACCGACCTCTTGAGGTATGTATTGCAGTAAAAGAAGATTTTCATCTGGATGCCTAAAATTAGGCATTCTTGGGCAAATCTAAATGTTTTGTAAAATGGAAGTTTGAACTATAACTTGTTTCTTTTTCTATTGCTTTGGTTGCCCCGCTGTTAAGAGGTAGCTAAAAGGTCTATGTTTATGTTCCCCTCTCAAATAGGGGTTTGTATGAAGCTTTCTCTAGTTGACTTTGGCTCTTGGCTGGAAGATGGGTAGGGGAGGTTCAAGTCACCTAGAAATTTGGTTGCAAACTTGCTGGTAGAAATTTGGATCTGCTTGAGACCTTTTATAACCTAGCCTTTTAGTTGTAAAAAACCATCTGAGATGCACTATGTTTTATGGTAGAAGTTTAGTTATTTGCTTATGTAGGACTTCATGAACACAATTTGTCCATACCATATATTCATTAGCAAAATTCTTACTATATATTCAAAAGTAACATACAATATTATCTACAAACTCAACTCAACTAAGCCTTATCCCAACCATATATATGGGGTTGGCTCCATAAATCCTCTTAGGCCATTTCACATTTCACTTTTTTTATTGTCATAAATCCTATTAACCTAACAAGATTTGATCATGGGAATAGATGAGAAAGGTATAATATGCTATTTGGTAATTTTTAGCAGAGTTTACATAATTAAGCTTGGTAGTAGTGAATTCAGTGCTATAATGAAGTTAAATATTGAAGGTATGTTTGTAAATCTTCGAAGGCAAAGATCAGGACATTAGCAGATCTTAGGCATAAGAGCTTGATGTAATGTTTGAGATCTATCTATCCTAAAGATTTGATTCTCCTAATATATGAGTTTATACAAAGAGATAGTTAAAAAAAATTGATATGTAAATCAGAATTTATTTAAGGTGGAGTACATTGCTATAGGAGCTACCAAGGATTAGTTTACCTTCATGAGAATTACAATTGACACTTGCTTCACAGGAATATCAAATCAAAGAATATTCTTTTATACATGGAATTCGAATCCACGCTTACATATATTGCATTTGATAAAACTATTGGAGTCTTGGCGAGACTATTTATAAGGTCTCCATGGCTTGTAATAAAGCAGGATCAGCCTGTTTTATGGAGCTAGGTTCATAACCATTCTTTAGTGATAAAATATGTTTATTGCTTGATCAATTTTCTCAAATTAAAGTGGATTACTTTTAGACAATTTTTAATTTGATTTAATTATAGAATTCCTTAATAGTGAGGTTCTTGCTAATTGCTTAAGTTTTAATCCATTTGATAGGGAAAACTATGGTAATTCAATTTAAGCCCATGGAAACTGCTTTATAACATACTAAAGACTTGCATACAAATCGCATATTGAAAACTTTTAGCACGTACAAACCTGAAGGATAGCTGTGGCCGTGTGGGAAGGTAGTAATATTTCAATTCTTTAGTTGTTCGGTATAGCATAGATTTCTCCTATTTTATTATACCTCTTTTCTGAAATTATTTTGTAAGATTACATTGATCTCTTATTTATTTATACTCTTTGTTGACACTTTTGTGAAACTTTTCTAATATTAAAAACAACTGAATAAGAATTCTTAATCAACTTGAAACCAGTCATACTAACATATCATGGTGCAGAGAAACCCAAGAAAACATAATCGAAATGACAATTAAATGAAAATAAAATAGAGATAAAGAGAAAGCCAACACAAAGAACAAACAAATTTACATGGTTCGGCTTATAGCCTACGTCCACGAGCGAAGGAGGAATAGAAATCCACTATGCTGTAGGTAATGGAGAAGAAATACAGAGTTGTGCTCTCACAGAAAACCCTAAGCCCCAAAGTACACCCAATATCTCTCAAGACTCCGCTTTCTGTACACAAGAGAGAAAACCCCCAAAAAATACATGAATCTTCGTATTCGATTCGGACCTATAAGATGAATATAGGCCAGGCCCATACCGCCGCGGAGGCTCCACACTCGCACCCCCAATGGTGATTTGTGGTGGGCTACGGGCTTACACATCCACCACAAACCACTATGAAATTGCCTTCGTGTTTTTCTCAAATTAATTTGGAACGGATTCACGAAGCGGGTCACCACAAAGAATTCAAGGCACAAATATAACAAATCTCCACCTTGGATTGAATTCTCTCAATCGTCACAGAATAGTAATCTCCCTCCACTTTCTCCAACAAAAGCCCCAATGGGCAAACTCAAATGCTGCAAACACCAATCTAGTCCAAGCAATGCTTGAACTTAGCCATAGGAAGAGGCTTTGTTAACATATCAGCCGGGTTATTTGCGGTACCAATCTTCTTCACAATGATATTCCTTGTTCTACAACATCATGAACAAAACGGTACCTCACATCAATGTGTGTCATCCTTCATGGTACATTTGATCCTTAGTCAGATGAATAGCGCTCTGACTATCAGAGCAAACAACAGTCACCTTTGAATCCAAACTGAGTTCACCAAACAAACCTCTCAACTAAATAACTTCTTTATCTGTTTCGGTCACTACCATATACTCAGCTTCAGTAGTAGATAAAGCAACTGTAGACTATAAAGTAGCGTTCCAACTAACAGCACAACCACCAATAGAAAATACATAACATGTGAGTGATCTTCTCCTGTCAAGATCACCAGCGAAATTTGAATCAACATAACCCATCAAACTGTCACTACTCCTCCCAAACTCCAAACAAGTATCTGATGTACCTTTCAGGTATCCGAGAATCCACTTCACTGCCTGCCAATGTGTCTTGTTAGGACATGACATATATCTGCTCACCATACTAACTACTTGTGAAATGTCAGGTCGTGTGCAAACCATGGCATACATAATACTCCCAACTGCATTGGAGTAGGGGACATGTGACATATATTTTTCTTCTTCATCTATCTATGGTGACAAGTTTGCTGAAAGTCTGAAGTAAGCTGCAATAAGAGTACTTACTGGTTTAGTATCTTTCATGCCAAAGCGCTTTAAGATCTTTTCAACAAGCTTCTATTGTGTCAAATATAGTTTTCCTACTTTTCAGTCCATTTGAATCTCCATGCCAAGAATTTTCTTTGCTGCACCCAAATCTTTCATTTCAAACTTACCACTTAATTGTGTTTTTAATCTGTTTATCTCAGATATTTCTCTTACTGCATTAAGCATATCATCAACACAAAGCAACAAGTAAACAAAAGAATCATCTGCAAGTTTCCTGAAATAAACACAACTATCATACTTGCATCTAGAATACCCAAAAACCACCAATCTTCCACCTTAAAGGGTTGTTTTGGGCCCAAGTCATGGGAAAAAATTTGGCTTGAAAGCTTTTGCCAAGTCAAACGCCCAAAACAAGATGTTTTGTAGAGAAATTTTAAATTGAAAATTTGGATAGCTAATAGCTATCAAGGTGACGGGTTTGTCGAAGTCCTCAAAATTATTACTAGTCCCACAATAAAATATTTGCAGTAAAAGTGGTTCTAGGTCGAATCCTACAGGGAGCAAATCAGTAATCTCTTAGCCAAATGGATAAAGTAATTGTGTGGGAAAATTTAATAACTAAAATTAAATGAATAACAAACTAAACAAACAAGA